CCAATTGACCAGGGAATCTTACTCCTTGGAATTTACCCAAAGAATATAACTTACCAGATTCAAAAAGACATGTGCACCCCTATGTTTATCGCAGCACTTTTTACAATAGCCAAGATATGGAAGCAACCTAAGTGTCCATCAGTAGATGAATGGATAAAGAAGATGTGATACATATACACAATGGAATACTATTCAGCTATAAGAAATCCTACCATTTGCAACAACATGGATGGAGCTAGAGGGTATTATGCTCAGTGAAATAATACAGGCAGAGAAAGGCAAGCCAAATGATTTCCCTCATTTGTGGAGTATAACAACAAAGCAAAAATGAAGGAACAAAATAGCAGCAGACTCACAGACTCCAAGAAGGGACTAGGGGTTACCAAAGGGGAGGGGTGGGGGAGGTGGTGTGGAGGAGTGGGAGAAGGGGTTTGTGGGGCATCATGATTGGTGCACATGGTGTGTGTGGGGTCACGGGGAAGACTGTGTAGCTCAGAGAGGACAAATAGGGACTCTGTGGCATCTTACAACACTGATGGACAGTGACTGCAATGGGGCATGGGGGGTGACTTGATAATAAGGATGAATGTAATAACCACATTGTTTTTCTTGTGAAACCTTCATAAGAGTATGTATCAATGATACCTTAATAAAAAAAAAGATATACCATGCAGACATTATAATCACAAGCTAGCTGGCATAAGTATATCATAGCATTTAAGTAGACTTCTGGAAAGGAACATTATAACTATAAAGCGGGACATTTCACAGCAATAAAGAAGGTGATTTATACGAAGACATAAGTTTAGTGCACATACTTCTAATAACAGAATTTCAAAATCCATGAAAAGCAAAACTGAGAATGAAAAGGAAAAACTGACTCACATTTACAGTGAGAAATTTCAACCCTAAACTCTCAATATTAACAAAATTAGGAAAAATAGAGAAAATCTGAACAGAACTGTCAACCTATTTAACCAATGGACATTTATAGAACACTTCACCCAACAACAGCAGAATAGACATTCTTTTCAATGTACATGGTACATTTACCAGGATAAATCATATTCCAGACCATAAAACAAGTCTCAGTAAATTATAAAAGACTCAAGTATATAAAGTATGTTCTCTGAACATAACGAAAGTAAACTAGAAATCACTATAAGATCATTAGAAAAACTCCCACATAACTGAAAACTAAATAAGTGAGTTTAGCACGATTGCAGGACACAAGATCAATATACATAAGTCAATTGTATTTCTATATACTAGCGACAGTCAGAAACTGAAGTTAAGAAAACAGTATCATTTACAACAGCATCAAAACATACTAGATACTCAGGAATAAGTCTGACAAAAGACGTAAAAAGACCTGTACACTGAAGACTGCAAAACATTGCTGAGAGAAATGAAAGAGCTAAACAAATGGACAGACACACTTTGCTTGTGGGTTGGATGATTCAGTATTGTTAAGATGTCAACTCTCTTCAAATTGATGCAGAGAGTCAATGCAATCCCAATCAAAGTCCCAACCAGTATTTTTTTGAAGAAACTGACAAGCTACTTCTAAAATCCAAATGGGAATGCAAATGACCTAAACCAGCCAAAACAACTTGGAAAAAGAACAAAGTTAGAATAAGATTTACTATAAAGCTACAGTAATCAAGGCAGTATGGTATTGTATTGGCACAAAGACAAAAAGATCAGTGGAAAAGAACAGACAGTAAAGAAATAGACCCACACAGTCATCTTCCACAAAAGTGCAAAGGCAATTCAATGTAGAGAGAGTAGTCTTTTCAACAAGGGGTGCTAAAAGAACTGTGATCCATACCTTGCACATATACAAATATTAACTTAAAATTGGTCAAAGTCTTAAATGTAAAACTAAAATTATTACATTTCTATTTTTAAAAAAAGAAACCTTGGAATAGGCAAAGATTTTTTAGATTCAATATCTAACGCACAGTAATTAAAAGAAAAAAAGTGGACCAATTGGACTTACTCAAAATTTTAAAACTTCTGCTCTTCAGAATAAACTATTTAAAGAATGAAAAGACAAGTGACATACTGGGAGAAAATCTTTGCAAAGCATACATCTGATAAAGGACATACCCAGAATATAGAAAGACTTCTCACAAATGAACTATAAGAAAGCAAATAACCATATAAAAAACTGGCAAAATATCTATCATCAAAGATAAACAAACAGCAAATAAGCACATGAAGACATGTTCAACATTACTCATTAGGGAAGTGCAAATTAAACCATAGTGAGATAAAATTAAATTGACCATACCAATTGTTGTTAAGGATGTGGAGGAACTGGAACTCTCATACACTTATGACGGGAATGTAAAATGGTGCAACCTTTTAATTCCTTCAAATTTACTTAGAAAACCATATGGCAATTCCTTAAAAAGTTACATACACACCATATGATCCAGTCAATTCCGCAAGTATTTTGCTCAAGAGTAATGAAAGCACATGACCATACAAAAATTTGTATATAATTGTTCATAGAAGCTTTATTTGTAATAACCAAAAACTGAAAACTCAAAAATCTATCAACAGATTAATGATAAACAAATTCAAGTGTATGCCTATAATAGAATGCTAATCAATAATAAAAGGAATTAAACCACTGATACATGCTGTAACATGTGTAAACCTAAAAATAATTTTGCCAAGCAAAAAGGACCAGACTAAAAAGAGCACACACAACCTATAGAATTCTATTTATATGAAATTCTGGGAAATGAAAATTCATCTTTAGTGATAGAAAGCTGATCAGAAGTGGTCTGGGGACAGAAATACGCAAGGAAGAATGGACAGGAGAGAGGAATTATAAGGGGGCACAAGGAAACTTTTGGGGGTGATATATGTGTTCATCATGTTGATTGTGGTGATAGTTTCATGGATATATACATACATTAAAACTTATCAAATTGTACACTTTAAATATGTTCAATGTATTATATGCCATTTATAGCTCAATAAGGCTGCTAAAAAATATTTACAATTATCATCCAAAAGCATGAAATACTAAATGATAAATTTAACAAAATGTATTCAGGATCCTCACACTGAAAACTGTGAAACACTTATCAGGGAAATCAAAGATCTAAATAAATGGAGAGATATATCATGTTCAAGAACTGGAAAACTCAGTATTGTTAAAATGTCTACTCTCCAGCAATCAATACACCCAGTGCAATCCCAATCAAAAGCCAGCAGGCTTTTGCATAGAAATTGACAAAATCTAAAATTTCTTTGGAAATACAGAGGACACAATATAGTAAAAATATTGTGCAGAAAACCAAAGTTGGAAGACTCACAATACCTAACTTCAAAACATTGTATAAAGCTACAGTAAACAAGACAAACACATAGATAAATGAAACTGAATAAAGTCCAGAAATAGACCCACACCATCAATTAATTTTCAATGAAGATGCCAAGGTAATTCAATGGAGTAATTTCAACAAATGGTGCTGAAACAAATGGACATCAATATGGAAAAAAAAGAACCTCAACTTTATCTTATACCAGACACAAAAATTAAATCAACACATATCAGAGACCTAAAAGTATATGTTAAAATTGTAAAACTTCAAGGAGAAAAACATAAGAGAAAAAGTTCTGTGAAGCTGTGGTTGGTAAAGAAGTCTTAGGAAACACAAAATGCAAAAACTTTTAAATGTTGGTCAATTGGACTTGACTGAAATTTAAAAATTATGTTCTTTAAAAGCCACTGTTAAAAAATATAAAACCTAGCCACAGACTTGGGGAAAATATTCACAGTATAAATATTTGAGAAAGGACTTGTATCAAGAGTCCTTTATAATCCAATAATAAAAAGATACAAATCCTAAATTTAAAATGTAATAAGAGATACAAAAATGACCAATAGTGCATGAATACTCAGTATCAGAGAAAAGCAAATTAGAACTACAGAGATACATTGTACACACACACTAGAATGTCTAAAATTAAAATGCCTGACAATACCAAGTGTTGCCAAGAAAGGGAGCAACTGGAACTCTCATACATTGTTGGTAAAATATAAAATGGTACTATCCCTTCTCCCTTATCATATGATCCACCTATTCCACTCCTAAGTATTTATCTAAGAGAAATGAAATATATCCACAGAGTGACTTACGCATGAATGTTCATAGCAGCTTTCTTCGTAACAGCTCAAAACTGTGTACAACCCAAATGTTCCACACTAGGTGGATGGATAAACAAATTGTGGTATATACTCATAAAATGAAACAGAACATAACAGTAATAAAGAATGAACCACTGCTTCACACAATGTGTATAATTCTCAAAAATATTATGACAAACAAAAGAACCCACACCAGAGAATATATTATATGTCTCTATTTATATGAAGTTCTGGAAACACTATAGTAACATAAAGGAAATCAGTAGATTCTGGGGCTCAGGTTTATGAGGGGGGCATGACTGACTATAAAGGGGCCTGAGGGGATTTCTAGAGATCATGGAAATGTTCTATATATCTTGATTGTGGTGATGGTGGTGGTTAAATTGGAGTTTGTATCTGTCAAAACTCAGCATCAAACTGTAACACTCAAAATGGATGCATTTTATTGTACATAAACTAGATTTCAATGATGATAAAAAAATAAAACATTATTGAGGCACACATATAGATAATAAAACTTTTTTTTTCAAATCTAGGTAACAGATACAAAATTTAGGACAGTGTCTAATCCTGGGTTAAAGGGCTAGGTAGGAAGGGGCAGAGGACTTTAAAAAGGGGGAATGTGCATATTCCTTTAAAAAAAAGGAATATGCACAGGTAGATTAAACTCCTATTAATGCTGTAGTTCTTGGGTTGAGTAATATTCATACTACTGTAAGTAAATAAAATAAAGCCACCACATGCAGAGTACTGATGGCAATGATGTGTCACAATTCATATAATTCTGTGGACCTGGGGTACAGATTTTTTAAAAAGGTAGTCACCTCACCCATATATTTCCCATGTCTCTGATGTAGGGAATATGCGAATAAATCCACCTCTCCGATCATTCTCTTCCTTCACCCTCCGTAAAACTTTTATCTACATGGAGGAATAGAAAATAAAATGAGTACCTATTTTGAAAACTGGAATCCAAGTGGTTATTGAAAAGAGGAAGAGAGTTATGACCCCAAAATACGAAAGAAGCATGAAGGGAGGAATTAATTCCATATTAGATGCTGTCTTCTGAGAAAAATTTCTCCTATCTTGAATCTTTCTCTTTTCAACTTAAAATATGTGTTGAATATTATGTCATGAACTGAATATTACGTCGTGAACATTATGAATCACTCACTGAACCCTGTGTCAGCCCACAAAGACCTGAAATGGAGTCATCTTTACCTCCTCCATTGACAGACCGAGCATAGAACCACCTAACTTCCCCGGCACCTTCTCCCGGGCTGAGCCCACAAGGTTTTTCATTTCCGCATCACTGGCAGAGAGTGGACGGGAACGCTAAAGAAAGGAAAAACAAAAACAAACAAAAAACACGTTTTATCACCTTTCTTTATTTCCTTCTATCCAGCCCCCTAACACCATTATCTGTCCTAATATGAATAAGTTCAAATTCAAAGCCCATTTTCTCTAATTAATCTGAGACTAAAACCCTGGGAAACAGATAAAAGCTAGTAAATTCCAAGGCAAGAAGAAAAAGCAGAAGAGGAGGAAAACACTACAGATTGAGAGAGAAATACAAAGAATAAAAGATGTCTACAATATGAGTTTTTAAGCTAGTACTTACTCGTAATTTTGGTTTTAGAGTACCTCTAATATTTTCAAAAATATGGAAAAAATAAGAAAAAAATCTCAATGTAAGATTAAATGTCTATTTATTTCACTAAATAATTACATTCTTTTCAGCTCTGGGAAGGAGAGTTAGGAGAACTGACACCTAAAACAGAAAACCAAGGAGCAATAATCTATAATGCCACAGATGACAAAGTTCAGCTGTGAGATGTTTTAGAACTAGAAGAGATAAATACTGAGGTGAGAGCCATGGGTGACAAAGAAAAGAGCTGTGATCAAAAGGCTACTTTCTTGAGAAATACTGTGGCTGCTGGCTTTCAAGAGACCTGGACCAAGGATAACTGCCCGGGGCACTCCAAGGAGGCAGCCAAAGGGCCATTGGCCTCACCGATCCCCCAAGATGACCCAGGCTACTTCAGTTTCTGAATGACCATCAGGAAGGTCGACTGAGAACCAAAGTTTTAAGTTATTTCGAGCCAAGAAATATAAAGGTAATAAAGGAAGTCAGACATACGAAGCATGACAATACACTATTATTGAAACAGATGTAGCAGCTGATAAAATACGACAAATCAGCTAAGCAGTAAGAATAAGAAATAATTCAAGAAATGTGGGTGCAAACTGCCTAGATTCCTAGAAGTAACTTTGACCAGTGAGAAGAAATCCTCTTGTCTGAAACTGTTTTTACTGTTTGCTTTGTGTAGGCTACCTATGGAAAGACTTTTTGGTAACTGATTTTTTACCTTTTCAGTAGTACTCATTGTTATGGACTGAATGTTTGTGTTCTTCCAAAATTCCTATGTTTAAGTCCCATGTGATGGCATGTGTAGATGGGACTTTCGGGGGGTAATCAGGGTTGGATGAGGTCATGAGGATGGACCCCGGTCTGATGGGATTAATGTCCGCAAAAGAAGAGACACTAGGGAGCCTGTACTCTTTCTCTCTGCCCAACCGCACACGAAGAGGCCATGTGAGCACACAGGGAGCCTGCAGCCATCTACAAGCCAAGAGAGGAGGCCTCAGAATAAAACCTACCTTGTCACTGATGTTGGACTTCCCAGCCTCTAAAACTGTGAGAAATAAATTTCTGTGGTTTAAGCCACCCAGTCTGTGGTATTTTGTTATGGCAGCCCAAGCAGACTAATACACACCTGTATACAAACAACTATGAATGGTTTTTCCTTAGGACTCAAGGGAGACCAATATATACTCACCTTCAAATCTAGCACGGGCACTATAAGAAATAGATTTTCTGACAGGCAACTTCCTGAGGAGACACTATGTAAAGGAAAACCATGAAATCAGCAGATAAAAGCAACACATGAAGGAAAGGACTTTCATATGTTTAGCTTTTCCTCTGCTTATCTTCAGCATCCCAAACAGTACTTGGTATGAAAAAGGAGATCAGTAAATACTTATTGCACAAATAAACAAATGAATCAATGTGCTGACACACAGATCAGTCATAGTTAGAATTAAACTTTGCAGAGCATTCTGGGAAAAAATTTAACTCTCCAATCTCTGAGACTACATTAAACAGTATGTACTGGGGTGAGCAGGGAATCAAAGGGAAAATTTAAAGATTTAGAAAGGGAATCAGTATAAATAATATTATCATTCAAAAATCTTTATTTTTTAATGTTTACTTAAAAATAAGTATGTGTGAATTCTTATTTAGTGTGTAATTTGGAAAAGTCAAGATATTAATGAATGCTTTGAGGACTTCACTCATTTTCACACAGTGATCCACATGTGATCATGGCTCTGAAAAGAAAGCCACTGGCAGTAAATCCTCCTAAGTCAAGATGTTGATAAAACTAAAATCCATAGCAAAAGGTCAAAATAAAAAATTTTTAAGGAATAGTTATTACCTATTAGAATACTTTTAAGGAATGCATAGTCATCCTTATAAGAACATGGATCAAATCACTATTGAATCACATGTAATAAATACCTCTAATTTTTAGTTTTTTTTATTTTATTTTGCTGTCCTTTTGTTTTTGTTGTTCCTTTTCTTGTCCTTTTTTAATTATTGTTTTCTTCATGCTTTCTTATTTGTTATGCCTTTTTTTTTAATCTTAAAATTTGTTTTGCTTTTTCTAGGACTTAATTTTCATCTTTGTAGAACTGCTTCATGACGGAATGATAATCCTGGTTTTCAGAGACTGAGATCATAACGATGCTGCAACCTTCCACTACTTATCTAAACCTGCTCCTATAAACAATGAATTAGCACCCAAAAACCCTTAACCTTCTCTCCCAGTCACTTCCAGTGAGTTGTCTCCAATACACATTCACAACCACTCTTTTGTACTCAGAGTCCACAGTTCTAACTCTAGCACCATGTGCTTCTGTGTGGGCTGTGTGGGTGGGGCTCCTGGCTGGGGCATCTGGGAGGTTTGAAAAGGAAGGGGCTGAGTGGTAATGGAGCTTGTTAGATGACTGCCCCAGCTGTTAAGCCCTATAAGCCGATGGCTTTACTCTTTTATTGCCACAAGTATCACTAGGCTGCAAAGCACAAGTCAGTGTTACTCCAAGAAAAAAAAAAGTGGCTAGAAGCTCCTTTAATCTCTTCACCTATTTATTTCAATCTAATCTATTAAGAAGGCTGCAAGGGAAAAGACATGAAAAGTTGTAGCTATTGAAGTCTAAGTACCTCAAATGCGTCTCCACCCAAGTTTTCTGTATCTTTGGGGAAGCTACTGGAAAATAACAGATTAGAAAGTCAGAAGTATTTTGCCAATCTCAGCTTTTCAATAAACTTGAGATTGGAGAGAATTTTTTAAATCAACATAATATTTGCTGTACTGATTTATAGAGAAATATATTTATACAGTAACAATACTTTCCTGAACCATTGGATGAATCCTACCAATATTTGTTAATGAAATGAGCTAGTAAGGAATGTGGCCTGAATTTTAGACACAAATGAGAGAAAAGGGGAGAAGAAAGGATAACAAATTTTTAAAAAAAGAAAGAAAATAGTAGTGCTCATGAATGCCAAGGAGACATACCTGGAAATTAAAAGCAAAGCAAAGCAAAGCAAAAGCAAAAAAGAATCAGGCCATCAGGACTATCAAATACAAGAGCAAAAGAGTCCAAATGCAAGCCATTCTGTAGTTCTGATTTTGGGCATATCAGCTCAGCTGCATTCTCTGGGTGGCAGGTAGAATAAATACATGTATTACAATGGATTGACTGAATGCACGAAGGAAATAAGGCTCCTCTGAACTTAAAAGAGAACCATTGCCTCTGGCTAGATGACACATGATTTAAACTACTGTGTTCATACAGACTAAATTTAAACTGAAAAATTACTGTCTGGGTAAGAATCCTACCATGCAACACGCATCAAAGATGTTACATTATCATTAGTATGACTTATGATTCAGAAATATACCTGGAGAAGAAACCTTTACATGTCTAACCTTTGGCTAGGAAAGAACTGAGAATGTGAAATTACTGAGACAAGGAACCACCTGTCCCCACTCAAAGCAGTAAGAAACAGATGGTGAATCAGAAAAATAATCCTCAACCTAAAGAGAGCTAGCAAGTACCAGTAATGAGAAGAACTGGCCAAAATACAGAATATGAAAAAAGGTGAGATACCCTAAAAGACATCATAATTGAGAGGCAAAGAGAAAATCTGTTTGACTGAGAATACATGTAAAGAATACAAATATTCTGATTCAGTTTTACAAAGTTTGGAATTCGGTGTTAAAAACGAATGAACTAGAAATGGCTCAATTTATATGTGATATATTCTGCCATTTAGAAAACAAAAGGCAAAGCCAAGTTTACAAAGCAAAACAAACTAATGCTATCAAATGAAAGAAGATAAACAAAAAGGACCACATGATGTGAATAAACCTGGGTGGGAAATAGACACAAAAATGGCTAATAGAGAAAGTTTAAATGTAATGATAACCAGAAGTATACTTTGAAATTAGCAGTGGGGGGGGGGGGGGAGAGGAAGAGAGTAAGTAGGCTTCTGTTACACTAAAAAAAGATATGCAACATCTGGAAATTTGGAATAATTAAAGTCAGCAGGTCTGAGACATGCATCTGGTTGTTTACAGAACTGGCTTAGAAAAAAAAACTTACCAAAACCACTTACAATTATGTCAGAAAAATCATGAAGAACTGAGGAGGTACCAGAGGATTAGAAAAAAACAAATGAGGTACCAATCTTCAAAAATGTAAGAAGTATGCTCCTGGTGATTACCGCCTGGGAAGTCTAACTTGAATCCCTAGTAAAATAATGGAACAAATATTAAAAAAAAAATCCATAAACATTTAGAGTTTAATGGGCTCATAAAGAATAGTAGTATGGAGATGGATTTATTTATTTTAAAACGTGCTTTAATATTTTGATTTTATGACAAAACTACAAAAGAGGGGAATATAGTGAATATATTTAATGTCTTCAGATTTTATAGAAGCATTTGTGAAAATTTCATAAAGTTACTTATTCTAAATTACATTTCCAGTCAGGCTTAGTGTCATGACATAATGAACAAAATACACTGACAAAAACTGAAAACAGTTAAAAGACATAACTGACTACTGATAAATAAATATCAAAATAACACTAGATTATGGCCATCAAAATGGTAAAAAGAAAATCAACAGAACTCAAAAGTGTGTAAGGGACTACATCTGAGGGTAAACTATGTGGCCTGAACTTTCCTAAATATTTTACCTAGGTTTTATCATTTCTTTCTCCACAACTCCATTTATGTATTCTTATCCTTGACAGAGGCAGGACTTGAGCCTCACAGATTTAAGGGAACTTGCCCAAGGTCTAACAACTAGAGATTGGCAGGCAAGTTTGAATCCAGATCTCTCTGACTCTAAGGTCTATGTTCTTTCCATAAAACCATGCCACCTGCCTTGGAATGCTGAAAATTTCTGGTGAGTGGAAGATGTGAACTATAGACATTCAAGGGAAGGAAGAAATGTACAAAGAGAGAATGGGTTTAAAAGGAATAGTCAGGCAAGAGGCAAAGAACTGTGACTTCACAATCCAACAGAAACAGAAAAAGAAAACTTGACATAGTCTAAATGACCAGAGCAGAGAACTTCTTTTCTTTTTTTACTTGGCTGTGATGAAAACTACTGTGGAGTGGAAAGCACTTCATTAACAGAAAGACAGTAACAACGTACAACACAGAACAATTAAGAGTGGAAGAATTTAACATGAACAGAGTTGGCTGAGTTAAGCCAGGAAGACATTCTATGTCACGTTAGCAGTGTTCCAATACAGAACTACCAGAGAGAGGCCTTGCTCGGCCATAGGCTATTGCAACCTATGGTAATTGCAGTGATGGAGATGAAATAGAATTAAAATGGGAAAGGGAATTACATTATCAAAGACATTTCTTTGCAGTCAAATTCAGAAGACTGAATTAGTACTTTGAATGTTCACCTTAAATAGATTAGTTCAAGAGATATTTGGAATGTAAGCCCTTTGAACTCAACGGGCATGGGGTATTTTTGGTTTTTGTTTGCCATGAAGAGCAGTGCACACTTAGGTACTTACTAAATACAAAACACTAAACATTACAGAGTTTTGCATTTTACCAACTAAACACCAAAACTCATTACAGAACCATATTAACCAGTTACCAAATACTAGACAAGACAGACATTAAGTCTCTTTTTCACTTCTTGGATTCACATAAACCATGCAAATCACTATCAAAAACAGTAGCTAAGAAAGTTACAATTCAAGCTTCTGAGCCTACCAGGAACTGCATCGGAGAATACAAATGCCAAAATTAACGTACTGGAGCTTTTGGCTAAAGAACTAAGTTGCAGGTGACACACTTGTGTGTGAAACACCTACATCTCTCACATCAACACAGCAGGAGTAGCAACATCACTGATACCCTTCACCTCAAAAGAGATGTTAAAAAAAGATCTGCCAAGTGGAAAGCCACAGTTCATATCAAATGCTACTAACAAGAACAGTTAGAGGACAAATGCTGATCCTTAGGAGACTGAGACAGAATACTGTCTTTATTTAAAGGTGACATCTAGACACTAATTACGGCAGTTTCTAAAATTCATAAGACTACAAATCACTACATATAAGAAATGTCATCTGTTAAGAAACTTAAACACAGGCCCAATACACAATGTGAAATCATTTCCAACACTAAGCTGCTGACAGTAGTATGTTTCATAAGATGTCCAAACAAAAAGAAAGGCTATTTGTGAACTATGATATTTCCTTCCTGGAATATATTGGTGAAAGCAAATAGATATGCCTCTAAACCCTGTTCATCATTTGAATTTGACAGCCTCCATCACAGCAATCACTATCAGGGAAAGAGGATTAGCAAATTCCTCCAACTGCTACTTTTCTCTTCTATATCCACAAAGACCTCTGTGCATTCATTTTCACTTTTACCTTATACTATTAAACTGTTCAAATAGCAGGTGTTTAAAACATGTACTGTGAAAGAGTAAAGCTAAAAGGCTTTCCATTTGGAAAATGGAAATAATAATTCGATGAGGTCTCTAAATGATCCAGAACTCACCTGTTTGGCATTTGATGACTGAAACTGTGCAGATACTAGATGCTATAAAAGACAGAAAAATGGAATAAAGCCTTAGGTTCCCCTAATGCATCTGTATTTCCCAACTCCTACATCTCTGATATCAAAAAGGAAAAGACACTCTCCAAACAGAAACCAAAAGCCAGAGCCCTACATGTTGTGCTTGGAAGAGTTGAGCATTTATTATGTTTCACACCGCTTTCTCCTAAGGTGTATTTATTCCAGTTTCATCTTTTTACCAGTGAGAGCACAATCCTAGTGTCACAAACTCAAGTTCCTGAGTTCACTACTCCCTGAGAAATTTGTTTCACACAGCGCCAGAGCTATAGTTTCTTTAGCCTTTAAAGAAGTGTTCTGTAAGCCTCTTATGGATGAAGTCATGCCATTACCTACCGGTTAGCAAAACAAACAGTGAGGAGATTCTCTGCTATTTGCAGAGTTGCCAATAAAAACTGACAGGCAAACTAAGAAAAGGGATCAATTCATCTAAGACTGACAAACAGCTACCCCTAGAGTGAAACTTGGCAAAACTGCTAACGCTGCACAGGAACATTCACAAACCTTTATATACCACCCTGTGGCTCCTGCCACAGATACTGCAGGAAACAATCTGCAAAGGAATGTGACTTGCCTAAACTCAGTTTTCCTAGTTCACCTAGGTTAATCCTCCACTTTTTATTATTAAAAATTAAAGAAAACTCTTTGATCTGTGATGAGGCACAGATCAAGTACAACCCTGCTGCCTGGTTTTACTTCTAATCCAAGATAATGCCCCTTAACATAGAGTACACCCTGTTCCACATCGCAACACTAATACTAGTAGGCCAACAGTTCTAGAGCAGGTCACAGGTAAGCAGCCCAGTGACTGAATCCAGCTCAAAGACATGTAATGTTTGGTCTGTAAAATATTTTTTCAATTGAACTATGTGGTTGCCAATATTTATAAATAAGAATTCTCTTGACAGTAAAGATCTGACAACTCTGACCACATTGACGATCAATTGGAGCACATCCGTACAACAGCCGCCCCTTACACAGGGCTGAGAGTGCGTACATGAGGCACACACTCTCCAGTTTGCTGCAGTCTCACCATCCTCAGCTGGACTATACGTTGACCGTTGTTACTCATTTACATTGTCTGCCTGCAGCCTCTATAGGCATTTGGGTTTGCAAACCCAGTTCTAATGAAAAGCTGCCTGAATAAATAAGAGAATATGACTTTGGTAAACAAATAGCACCACTCTAGGTGAGAGCAGCAAGCCGCACAGAGGAGGAGGAAGCGGAGTGGGGGTGGGGTGGGGAGGGTGGTGATGGTAAATGGAAGGTTAAAGCAGAGGTGGGGAGTGAAGACAAGGAGGGGATAAGAAAGTGAAAAGGGATGGGGAGAAGGCGCAGCTGTTTCTGCCTTCAAAGAGTTTACAATCTAGCAGAGGAGCAATGGACAACCTAAAGGCAACAAATCAGTGAATGCAAAACAATACAATAGAGAAACAAGCAGATAATGGTGAAAAGAAAAGGAAATGACAGAGTGGGATGGATTTAAAAAGAAACAATCTCCAAACTTCTGAGCAGGCAAGATAATCAATCCAGACAGGAGGAAGGTGGATCTTTTAGATGAGAAGAAATGTCTAAGGCAAAGAAACAGAAGTGGAAACTAGCCAGGTCTAGACAGGCAGGGATTGCTTAGATGAAGGAATGAGGAGACAGAATGATTAGCTGGTTGCTTTAACTGGAACAAAAATGCAGAGGACACAAGGACTGTAGCAGTGCTTGATGAAATGATGTTTCAGACATGCACAGGTTTCTGCAGGCATTTATTGCATTTAACTTAAACACCTTCTGAAGAGAATTGCTTGTAGAGAAGATATAATTTCAGTTGAGCATCTTCTTCATGAAGCTACTCTGTGGAGATCAAAAAGAATGCAGCAGAGTAGTAAACTAGGAACTTGTAGCTCCCTCTCTGTGCCTTCTTTATGAGTATACCAATTGAGGAAAAAAGAGGATGATTTTTTAAAAAAGAAAGATAATGAAAAAGAAGCCAAAAGAAAAAACAAAAACCAGAGAGTTAATTTCAAAGCTATCAGCCACAGAGGAGTATAACTGCCTCCTGTCTAGAATGAGCCCCAAATTCTCCTGCTTTCAATGACTTCATACCCACAGGGCAGCAGCTCACTCATTTACATCAGCTGCCACTTTCCAATAAGCCTCCTTTGGGCTCCCTGCTGTTGAATTTGCTTACCTGAGGTTTCTGGAAGGGAGTTCGCCTGGAAGACTCAAGGGTAGGATAAATTGGCCGCGCTGATGCCCGCTGGGAAGGATTTTGGCACACAAATCCTGAACAGGGAATGGCAAACATTAAAAACCTGCCATTTTCTAAGAAATTAGCAGGTTTAGCTGCACCTTTTCTTTATTTGTACAAACTCAGTTTCACTGTCATAAATGTTGAGATCCATCCTCAAGAAGATTGGGCATGATTCCCCCATACACACACACTGCATGAACTTCAAACTACCATAACTGGAAAGAGCAGAAAGGAAAATGTGCAGACAAATCAACCTTCCTTGTTGGGGAGCTGAAATATGATTCTGATGGAAAAAGAGATGTAGATTTTTTGACAACCATCAGAGTAAAGTCGCAAACCGCCATTTAAAAACACTGCTGTTAAGAAAAACAAATTATTTTAAAGTGGCTTCCTGGATAGGGACTGGAAGATGATGTTTCTACCAGGAGAATCCAGAAGCAAGGGAGGGGTGCTGTCTTGTTACAGGGCCCACTTCTGGAATTGCTGCAGGTGGTCTACTAGCCAAAATGGGCTTTATAGACTTTCTATGGCTTAAGAAATTAGGCTTGGGCTAATTTCACTTATTTCCTAAAAAGAAGCAGATTCCCATCCAAAAAGAATAGAGTAGCAAAGTTTTACAGCATTTGCTGGTACGCCAAGTACTAGTTCACTTCAAATATATTTTATTATGTCTTTTTAGAGAACTTAAAAAAACAACAACAAACGCAGGCATACCCACCTGACTACCCATCTCCATCTCAAAGTTCTGGCTTGTCCGCTCAAAAAGGGATTTCATCTTTGGGCTGCTTCAGCTATACACTACAGGAGGATCATGCTGACACCAACAGAGGTTGTCTAGCAGAAATACAGCCAGTCTCCTTTGTAACAAAGCTTCGTCAGTGAATTTCACTATCCCAGCTCAGAGAAAAATACACTTTCTCCAGATCTTTGTTTAATTCTCTTCCTCAGCCCATATTTCCTATGCCCTAGGAATTAGGTCTTAGCCCTAGCTGTGGTTCAGCTTCAGGCCAGGATGGAGCCAGGGGGAGTATAAACATATAAACACTTCCCTGAAAATATAACTTTTTAGTACAAGACATTCAGCATGGTTTAGGAACAGCCAGTTGGCAACACCTATAGAGCCTGACAAAATGGGTGCTCTGGTTAACTTTTATGTGAACTTTCAGAAAACACTCTTACTTACCTACAACAGTGAACATATCTGAAATCATACTCGCTTTAATCTTTAGGTCCAGAGGTGCATCACTAACAGAACAGAGAAAGAAAAGGGCAATCGATAACTTTATAGGTTAACAGATTAGCTGCCCCTAATGGGCCCCAATATAGCAAAGCTTCCAAATATCAATGAGGAGCAACACATAAAGCTCATCAAATCCATGGAAAAATAAAAAGAAGTCTGGGCAAAAATACTAGAAATAAAAGCCCAGTGTTAAACTCATCCTCTGTAAGGCAGGCCCAGCATCAAGGCATTGATTTCCTGACATGTAATCTTTTTATTCCAGAAGGTCTTATGCAACTTGAATTTTGCACAAGTCAAGAATACTTCATGATCCCTGTGGATTTCAGAGGTTCAGACTTTTAGTGTGCTCTTTTATGAGGGAACCCTTCATTCAAATTATTTTTCACTGCTGCAATAGTCAAATCACATTCACAATCAAGAGAAAAAACATAGGCCATCTTTGTATTTTTTTGGTTCTTCATTTTCTGTCCCAAATCAACCTTCTTAAGGTTGCAGGCTTGCAAATGAGGGCACACACACACAGAAAAACAGAAGTTACACCAAAATATCACCAGATCATATACCAGGAACCCACATGGAAACAGAAACAACATGGGCTGAGACAGGAGGCCTCCCAGTGGCAATGAATGCCATGTCAGCTTTGGTGTTGAGATATTCCTCCATGAACCAGATTACTCTGGCTGCTGGACCCAAAGTACCCTGCTGGGTTCTCTAATAGTGTATGATTTACCTTGAGGGCAATCTGCAAAAAGCTTACTTAACAAAGTGTAGCACAACATCTGAGCATCTGTAATATCTAGTTCTACACCTTATTCTTGGGGTTAAACCAAACTCCCAACCCACAAAACAGTCAATTTGTCTTGATTTGATTATTTGGCATTTTGCCAACATTTCTCATCCTTAAAAATGCAGCAGCTGGGTGGTCTGGCATAAATCTCAAGGGCTCTCTAGATGTTTAGAGAAGCATATAACTAATAGAAACTCTGGCTGCAGCTGCAGATATAAGCAGAATCTTCTCTGGTATTGAGTAATATGTTTCTCTCTTTCCAAATAATAGATAGGTTAAAAAAATTTTTTTTAAAGATTGTTGGAAGTTTTTAGACTTTAATCTTAGATGCATACCAGGACAAGGACAGGGGAAAATGGACCAAATATTACCTATATTACCATAGGCCCAGCTCTATTCCTTTACAGTATATGTGGATTTGAGTCTGCATAAACCTTTGGTAATAAAGGAAATATAATACCTTGTGTGTTTTTTTACACTTAGCAGAACACCTACAAAGTTTTTGAAAAAGAGAAAGAAAGAACTGGGGATCAAGATGGATGCAAAAAGCATCCCTTAGAAGCCCAATAAGACAGTAAATATAGATTGCATGTTGACTAGTAAGACAGGGATCTATGGTTGCCATATGGACTTCAACAACATAACACAAATCACCCAAATTTAGAAACTCTAGTCATCTCTACCTAATAACTAGGAGGAAAAATCTCCTAGTGCCCAGAGAAATGACCAAAAAAACCCAGTGTCCTAGTGCTCCTCACTGAGTTTGTCCTCTCCTAGTTGATGGAACAGACTACTTACCAGGCCAAAGAAGGAGAGAGATTCACTTCCAACAACCATGGCTTCAGAGTAGAATCTATAAGCACGTCAAAGCCATAGAGTTCTAGAAATATAACATAACACAATATGCAAGATTATTTTCCATGTCACAACTGAACAAAGATCTGGAAGAGTCAACCCAGTCAACTCCCATCAGAGCCCTAGAAACTTGCTGAGTGTAAGTATTAGGCAGAACTGGAAGTTGACAACCTTTCAAGTTCAAGAGATATTAATGAGGCTCAAGAGATAATGACAGAACTACATTATAAAATTCCACTGTTTTTATCATCCACTCTATTGACATTCCTGAGCTCTACACAGAAAGTGACCCAACACTAGAAATTAATGGCATGATTCTGCTGTGCTTATGTGTAAAAAAAAAAAATGCCGGGAAAAGGAACGCAGTAAGTACATCCAATGTCAATGCTTGTCTTGGGCTTGTTCGGGATTGTCCTCCACCACTTCCCCACCATACTCTGAAAACAAAAACTTACTGAAGGCATCTCTCTAGCATCTTTCCATCACATTTTTGTAAACCAAGATCTTGCTTTTTGCAACTTGGGTCAAGAACACATCTAAGTGTAAAATATATTTATTGTTTCCCCTCCCTCTATGGTTTAAATTTCCCTTTGAAGATAGAAAATAAAATACACCAGCCCAGCACAGAAAGACAGAAGAAGGAGAAACTAATGGAAGCAGAGCAGGACAGTGACAAACCACCTTGAACCACTAACATTATTTAAGAAAGGAGGGAGTTAGAGATCAAAGTTTCACAGCTTCTAGATTCTCTGCTGATTGTCTTCCCTAACTCCCCAACTGTTGGAAAGAGCAAAGCAAGAACCATGAACTTATTTAGAAATAAATCTCTTTACTTCAAGAAGCATAGTCCATTTCTTCATCCTCTCAAAAACACAGAAAAATAAATACAGGCTTCTAAAATGATGGTGCCAAAGACTCTCCTCTAGAATATACGCAATCTGCTGTACTACCAAGAACCTGGAATGAGACCTGGATCCTCCTTATGATTCTAGCTCTTACTCCATGTGGAAACTTGGGGAAACCATTCCTGTCTCTATTTCTTTGGTCTCCTTTATCCTCTCTAATAATCACCATTTGTCAATATTTGTACGCTCTGTAAACCTATATCCAGAATTCTTGTTTATGCAACATTCAGGTAAACATTCATATTGGATTTCTCTCTCTCTCGGGAAAAGTTTCCATGAATGAGTTGGATTCAGTAGTATTATGGAGGATTCCATTTAATTTGCAGAAATAATCACAAACTGTAAGATACTGAGATGGGATTCACCTTCCGGTAACTACACAAAACTCACATATTACTTATGCTTTAAAACGTAAAGAAAAGAAAGCTCCTTCACCTATCTTCTTTTGGTAACAAATTCATAGCTTTTATGGGCAGTATACTCTTCTGAGTATTTTACCTACTCTTCAGTCATCCCACAGAATATCCCCCTTTCAACCTGAGAAAAATATTTTTAGAGCATTAAATAAGCCATTTGAAAAGAAAAACCTATTACAAAATCTGCAATTCCAGTTAACATTACATAAGCAAGAGAGAATATAATGTGAGCCTGATTCAAGAAAAATAACATTCTCTTCAGTTTTTAAAAACTGAAGCACAGGATTCGATTATTTCAAGTGGTAATGTTAATAATAATTGCATGAGGAATAGGGTGAAAATAATGATTGATGTACATGTTGATCAGATTTGCAGAATCAGCCATAAATGAAGAGAAATTGAAATCTAGTAACAATCGATGAGACCTATCATTTAAACACCTTGCACTAAGCAGCCAATACATCTGCTTAACCATTTCCCAAATTAGGAGGCAAATTACAAGCATCTCAGATGAAAGGCTGAAAATCAATATTCGGAGAAGAAAAAAAAAATGACCCAAAGAAAGAAAACGCCCTTTGCAGGGCCAACTTAATGTTTACTCAAGTGAATAAAACCTGTCAGTGTCAACTTATCTCAAAATCAGCTTTGAATCTAACTGCATGTCACCATGCACCAGGCTTGGATCTATCATTTAAGAGTGGGGTAAGTGTGTGATAGCATCAAAACACAGTGCAAAGCTCAGCTCACTTAAGAGGCTGGAATTGGGGGAGAGGAATAGGGTGAAAAGATAGCATATCTTTCAGGTTTCTCTCTTGAAACTATCTACTCAGCGTCAGAAAACTAATTTGAGTCCTTGACAGGCTACTAGAGTCCTTATAATGGTCCTTTTAACTTACGATTGGTCTTTTCTGTGGACCGTAAAGATTTTTACAGGTAAGTATGTTGTACTGAGAATATTAAACTACCTCACCTTTTAAAATTGTATGTTTTAGCAGCAGTGTCTAAAACTTCAAAACTTTAGTATCCAGGACAAAACATCCCAGGGTTTCTGTCACTAAAGGGTGCAAGCAAGCGACGCTTTTCTATATGGAGAGCTACTTTCTTTGTTCCTCTGTGTCATCTTCATCATGACAGAAGAGAAAGTATGTTGCAAGGAATATTGTTACCACCTTATGCAACAATGTTTCCACATGAAAATTTTCCTTAGATACATTTCCTTCAGCCCCCAGTCAAATCAAGACAAACTTGAAAATTATACTAGTAAATGGTAAGAAGCTTGACTCCATCTCCTAGTTTACCTTAGTGCCCTTACCTCCCTATTTCTTTAATGCAGCTTTTTCAAAAAGCAAGCTACACTTAACTGCCTTAACTTTCTTCATGCCTGTTCACATGCCAACCCGTAAGAAGTTGCTTCTGCCGCCACTCTTCAACAATTGACCATTCTCCTTCTGATCACCCAAGACCACCTTACTGCTAAGCCCAAGCAGCTCAAACTGTTGACCACCCTTACTTATTGGAACTTTCTTCTCCCCTGTTTCCAGGACACTGCTCTCTTCTGATTCTCCTCCTCCTTTCATTCCTTCTCTTCTGCCCAGCTGGTCACTGGTATGTATGCTTAGGCTGGCATCCTCAGGTCTCTCCTTCTCAATCTATTTCTCTTCTTGGGTGATCTCATGTATTCTCATGGCTACAATTAATATTATGGTGATGATATTCAAATCTCTATCTTTAGTCAAGTGTCTCCTAGACACCAAATCCATAATTTCAATTGTCTTCCAGACAACTTCACTAGGACAGCCCTTGGGTACTCAACATGCAACAAAACATAACTCATTATCTTGCTCCAAAACCTGTTTGGCTTCCTATTACTCATCTTGGAAACTGGTAATCCCATCCACACATCTCCACAGTTAGAAACACTTTCCTTACCACCTCCCAAATCCAACATATAACCAGACCTCTTCTTTGTTCTCTTTAATCCAGACTTCTACATTCCCTTTTGAGGTATAATTCACATACAATGAAATGGAGAGTTCTCAAGCCATAGTTTGAAGAGTCTGGATAACTGGACATACCCATGTAAGCCATCCTCATAGCGGTCCACACACAACAGTTCCATTACCCCAGAAAGATCCATCATGCCTCTTCCTGGTAAATAACCTGCTCCCCTCGTCATACCCCCAGGCAATCCACTGTTTTTATTTCTTTCACCATAAATAGTTTTGCCCATTCTAGAATTTCATATAAATGGAAGAACACAGTGTATACTCCTTTGAGTCTGGTTTATTTCATTTAGGATGTTTTTGAGGTTCTTGCAATTTATCATTGTTTCTTGTTCTAAGACAGGCTTATGGAGCTGTCATTTACATACAATAAAATTCCCCCTTTTAAATTATAAAATTTGATGAGTTTTGACAAATGCATAGCTGTTTAACCAACCACCCCACAATCAAGACAGAACAATTCTATCACAGACGTTTCCCTGTGCCCCTCTGTAGGTTAATCCTCACTCCCCATCCATCCATCAGCAACCACTGAATCATACAGTATTTAGTTTTCTGAGTGGTTTCTTTCACTTAGCATTGTGTTTTTGAGACTTATTTATGTCATTACATGTGTGTCAGTAGTGTAGTTCATTCTTTTTACTGCTGAGTTGAATTCCATTTTACAGACATACCACAATTTGTTTTCACAGGTGATGGATTTATCTGGGTAGCTTCAAACTTTTGGCAATTATGAACAATGCTGGAATAAACATTTGTTAACAGGTATTTGTGTGAACATATGGTTTCATTTTTCTTGGGTAAATACCTACAAGTGGAACTGCTGGGTCAGTCTGTACATGGATATTATCACTGAAAACCTCTTATCCCCCGATCATTTCCCTAGCACTAGTCTCTCTGCACTGTAGTGCATTCTCCACATTGCCATGAGAATTATCTTTCTAAGATGTAAATCTAAGGCAGTAAATTGGCCCAGAAATAAGCACTGATGTCAGGTCAGTTCCCAGAAGATTTTAAATTAGATAGTTCTAATAATGCTGCACAGTATTCCCTTTGTTGTAATTCTGTCATATCAAGTTTTGAGTCACATCATGATAAAAGTTAAAGAAAATAATAATACCATTACTCCCCTGCTTGAGAAACTCCAGTGGCTGTCTGTTGTGTACAGGATGAATTTAAACACCTCTGTCCTTTAATATCATACCCCAATCTACTTCCATAATCTTCTCTCCTGCCACCCCATCCTATGTAGGCTACATCTAGTCCCGGTGGACTTGCCATTTCAAAAAATACCATATCCTTTCATAACACAGTGTTTTGCCTATCATATTCCCTCCGCTAGGAACGGTTTTCTCTGGCTCCCCTAGGCATAGCTAATAACTCTTGGGTATTCCAAGGGCACCTGAGTCACTCTACTATTTGTACTGTCATTTATCACTTCTTGTCTGCTCCTCTCCATGACTTGAAGGCAGGAGCCATGTCCCTGTCATCATTCTATACCAAGCAGCTTAGGAAGTACACAAGAAGCAATCAAGAAATACTGAAAGAAAAACACGAGAAGGAAAAAGAGAAGGAAAAATTTTTTTAATGAAAACCACTGTACAACTCTTGAGAAAGAAAGAATAATGTACAGCTACTCACCCAAAATAACCCTGACTGCAAGGCTTAAAATATTCATAATAAAGCCACCAATCATAAAGA